TATCTTTTGAAATGTCAGTTTTTCTTAAGTAGATTGAGTTCATCTTTAAATATACAGTATAAAAATCAATTTCTGGAGTCACAAATGCCCAGGGTCTGGAAAATAAAAATAAAGCCTATACAGCTGGGTCATACATTAGATACTATAACCTGCTTGGGTGGGAATTTACATTTGATATTCTGCCGAGTTTAACTGCAATTAGCTGGACTTCTGAAGAAATTGACTAGAACACTGAAATACTTGCAAATAGTGCTGATTTTGCTCCTAACATGCCACTGAGGCAGTAATAACTAAATAACTGAGGTCACCTGTTACAAGGAAGTTCAGAAGAAGCTTCTGTTACAGTGCTTTTTAGAAGTCCTGATGGAACAGTAATCAGAGGCAAGTGCCAACTTTTCTTTTAAAAATGTTGAAGAATTAAGAATCAATTTTTAGATTTAGAAGTAAGATGTATCACAGATAGCAAATACCTAATGGTACATAGGAAAAGGAGTTGGCCATTAGCCAAATGAACTTACACTACCATTCAGTTAGGATATGGCTGATCAAATTACTGCAGGGTTTCTACAAAGGTCGTAACTCACCTATTTGTCCTAGAGTTCTACAATATAGCCTTTATGAGGAACTAGCTTGTCAGTCGCACAAAGTGTTACATAGAGGGAAAGCTGTTACAAGGACTAACTTGGAAGGTTTGATTTTGCTTATTTATTTAAGAAAACCATGTTTATGATATATCTTTAAATTCATAATAGTACAGTGTTACTGTGGATGACATTAATTTACACTGCCTGTGTTTTCAGCATTTCATTTGTACATAGCACCACTTTTCATCTCAAACAAAAGCTATCCTTATTGCAATACTAACAACATGTGCTCCGCAATAACATGTCTCCAGAGTCTGCTAGCCAATAATGCATTTCAGGCGTTTAAATATTGTATTTTTGGCCAGTTTATATCATCAGTACACAGTTGATGTCAATGCAGCAAATGTTTTTAATGCTCAGTGTTACAACTGAGCACTTACAGCCTAGGTACATTGTTCAGATACAGATTATAATTTGCTCTATTCTACCACAATAGTGCAGTTATTTGTTACCACACAGAATGTGAAGCGCAGGGAATAGAGGTTTTGTAAACTGAGTGCTAAAGTCAGGAATTTGGTGTAAGTGGGATTTCTCTAGTACAGGCACAAATATGGAGTGTTGCACTCCTTAGATGTGAGAGTTGAACTCTGAAGAAAGAGGAGGAGGAGGATAACAGCTTTTGAGATGTGGTTATGCTGGAGAATGCTCAGAATCAGGTGCATGGATAGAAAGACAAATCAATAGGTTAGATTAAAGTTAGAAGTTCAGAAACCAAAGTGGTTGCTAATGTATATGTGGAGAAAGATCATCAAATGTGGACATTGGAAACAAAGACTTGTTCCCTTGTCCTAGCAACAATTGAAGAAGAAATTGAGGGTAAAAGCAAAAGAGGTAAAGAAGAAAGTAGAAAACAGAAATAGAAAAAAATAGATGGAGGGTAATATTGAGATGTGGACTGAGGAAGGCTTGAAGAAAGCCAAAGAAATAATACAATGTCAATTATCTCAGTGAGGCTGTGGTGAAAACGAACAAAAATGATTTATCTGGTAAGTATTTGTCATGATGTAATTCAGATTAACATTGAGAATTTGACTTTAAACTGTAAAACTGCAAAACAAACTGCCAAATAGTTAAGATAAAAATTGAAAATGCTCAGAATACTCAGCAGATCTGGCAGTATTTGAAACTGTTAATGTTTTAGGTCAATAACCTTTTGTTAGGGCTGTGTATTACTTTAAACTCAAGTGAGGGAAGAGTCAGGTGAAAGGAGATTTAGAAATCTGAGGAAAAAAGTCAAGGCAATATAGATGTGTAGTGACTTAGAGTCATACAGCATGGAAACAGACCTTTCACTCCAACTCATTCATGCCCACCAGGTTTCCCAAACTAGTCCCATTTGCCTGTGTTTAGCCCATAACCATCTAAACCTTTTCTATTCATGTACCTGTCCAAATGTCTTTTAAATGTTATAACTATTCCTGCATCTACCATGTCCTCTGACAGATCATTCCATATACTCACCCCGCTCTGTGTGGAAAAAGTTGCATCTCACGTCTTGGGTAAAGCAAACTGAATGGGTAAGAAATTTAATGGTAGTAGTGCAACAGCAAGTAAAGTCATGGAATGAATAGTAGTAAATAAAGTTAAAAGCCTTTTAACTGAATATTGGTGACAGGCCACTGATCTCTTCTGGGGAAAAAACAGCTGAGGAAACAGACATAAGCATATCTTTCACCTGCCTCATATGGAAAAACCTCTAGGTTTTTCACACATTCTATCTGAATGTGTGAAACATTTGTGAGAACTAGACACAAAATCAAGATAAGTTGTTTTAATTGCTGATACAAGTATAAAATTACTCGGCAAGGAAGGTTGAGAAATAAATATGCAAGGATACACTTCATTTTGAAAAGACATACTAAAAACAAAAGGAGGAGCAGGCCTGATTGGAAAAAAAATTACTTGTAGTGAGAAAGGGCCTTGACTCAGAAGATCAGGAAATAGAATTAGTATGGGGAGAGATTAGGAATAAGTAGAGTCAGAAATACTGGTAATGGATTCCTCCAAATGTAGTTATGCAGTTTGATAGGGAATTAATCGAAAAATAATTGGAGCTTGTAACAAAGTCAATATAATAATCTTTCTATAAAATGGTAAATTCTATAATCTTTCTGTAGATGGAGCCAAACAAATTGCACATATAATTTGGGAGATGAGATTCCAGAATGCTATCATACCTATTTCCTGCACAATGTGTTTGTGGAAGCAACTAGGGATAAAGCTATTTCAGATCCTAATATTGTGTAGTGAGGCAGGTTTAGTTAGTCATCTCACCATAAAAGATCCTCTGGGAAAACATAATATGGTTGAATTCCAAAATAAGTTTGAAAGTGACATAGTGCGGTTCCAAACAAGAATCTTAAACAAACCCAATTGCACAGGAGTGAAAATAGAAATGCCCAAGGATGATTGAGCAAACAGACTAAAATGTATGGTGATAAATAAACATTTCAAGAATGATTCAAAATGTTTATCAAATATACATTTAAATATAAACAAAAAACTCATCAGAAAGCTTACTAGCGAAGTTAAGGCCAATATTAAATTGAAAGAAGAAGCTACACTGTTGCAAAAATGACAATAAGTCTGAAGATTGGGAGTGGGTGAGAAACAAACAAACATGAGCAAAGAAATTAATTCTTGATTGCAGAACTAAGACAGGCTGGCAAATTGTCTTTCTCTCTGCATCTCAAATAAAAATTGCTGAAATCACTGACTGGATGGAAAGACCAAGAACTTAAAAGGTAACTAATATTCTCCACTGCTGACAGTCCCAGAAATCAACTAACCAACCATGATGTCATCTTAAATCCTTACAACTTAAGGGCATCCAAAAGACTCTGAATTACATATTCTTTTTTCTCTTTTTGTATTGGACACTATCCCCTTATAATTTTGTATGAGTGTTTATGGACCAAAGTAAATACATAAAGGCCTTGTGCTTGACATTGTGTGTTTGTTATTTTTCTTGGGTTAGCAAGTAATAAATTTGCTCATTTTTATCCCAAGAAAACCTTGTAATTGGCTCCTTAACATTCACAGTGAAAACAGTTAACTACATTTTATTTGAATAAATCTATAGCTGTGTGATGCTAAGAAATTAAAACTTCTGCTCTAATAAACTAGTCATAACATTATTTAGGGGGTTATTTTCTCTTCCAAGGTTTTTTTTCTATATCCAGGCAGGTATTTGTAAAATCTTTGAGATTCTGGAAGTTGGATAAAATCAACAGAACTAACTATGCTTTTTTATTTTTTTCTCAAAAGCTTTACAGAAAATTTAACTTTTGATGGTCTGATATTTGTAATCTGATTAACAAGTGCATACTACCTGAAGTGTCACATGTAGTAACATGTCCAAGTTGCTTGTTTTATGCTGTGGTACGTTTTTTAAAATTGTGTACTCAGTCCGTTTCTTAACTGACTTGAACCAAGATATTTTCTAATCAACCTGTTCAAAGATGTTAACACTCACTTCTGGAGCAGGTTGGACTTGAACACAGACCTCTTTGGTCCAGAGCCAGGGACACTACCATTGCATCGTAGTGCTCCCAACTCACTTGTTCCAAAAGTATCAAACAAAATGGCAGATAGCTAGTTGAAAGTAGGTACCTATTATTTAGGACCATGGAAGGAGAAAGGTCACTGTTTTACAAGTGTGGGAGATAGGTGGTGTCTGGATCTTGGAAATAAAGGTAACTCAACTCTGGAGAACAAAAAAATCCTGAGGTCTCCAAGTAATGGAGTAATTTCTGCCTTCTACCAGAGCCAGGAAGGTAACTAGCAGCATCTGACACCAAGAGATATCTGGGCATTATTGTTTCCCAGATACACAGGTGAAACATAAATTTGTTCAGTAGCAGATTTCAAACAGTTGGGCATGTAGAAATACAAATGAGGTAGGTGGTGTTAAGGTTTTAATAGTGGCATCACTGTTTTTGAAGAAGGTGGGAGAGCTTTTTCGATAACAATCTGCAAGTTAGGAGTACTTGACTTTGAATGTAGGGCGTGTAGAAGTTGTAGAAAGACGTTAGTTCTGAAGAATTGAAAGGGAGGGAAGATCTTGCTGAGGATAATAGTGTGGGAAAGTTGTAGATAGGAAGGGGATGCACGTTTTCGTAGTGAGAACACTGTATTCACTGTCATAACCAGGGAGCCGGCTACAAAGTATTTTGAATATTCATGGTATTTCTTTATTTTGTCATGTCATATCGTCACGTCCACTCACATTTCTCCATTATTACAACATAAGACTTTTTGTTGTATTGTAATATATATTTGACGTCATGACTAGCAGCAATTCAAAGGTTTTGAGTGACTTTGCTGAAAACTTATGTTGTAATTTTGTTTTGTTAGGTAATGGCACGTAGTTTTGGCAAGCGTTACCTCAAGGCATTTGTTAGTGGTTTCTTTGTCGCTGTTCCTGTTACTGTGACATTTCTGGATCGTGTGGCATACATTGCAAGAGTGGAGGGTGCATCAATGCAGGTACAGTAGACAGATTTTGCTCTGTAATCATGACAGGCAAACTGTAACCAGCTGATGAAATTGAACATATTTGCTTTTGTACAATTACTGGCCATTTCGCTGTGGTTGTGTTTAATGTGTATTTCAGTCTTGTGCTGTAAGTGCAGAAGTTCAACAGTTGAATGCACTTCAGTTATTGGAATCTTGTAATACAGCTTGTCTAGCCACTTCTAAGAACTGAACATGTCTATTTTCCTCCAGGAACTCTTGGCTTTTAGTTGTGGTAACCAGGACCAAATAAAAATGTAATCCTTTTGCTGTTTTTATCGGTTCTGACTTTAATTTGTGAAAATATGGGGAAAAAATGGTTTAGTTTGAAAAAATGCACATGTATAAATGCTGAATAATTGCTTAATCACAGTATTTCTAGAATTCACTTTGTGTACCTGACTCACTTGTTAAAATGTTTTCTGGTGTCATAAAGTAAGTTTGTGATATATTTTGTCACTCTTCTGGCTATCAGGCTGTCATTGGAATTTAAGCATTCATTAGGTATACTTCTTTTTCTGTCCAATGCAGAGAATGCAAACCATAACTCAGGGTTTCCAAAGTGGCTTCAAACCTCAAATGGAATTGATAAGTGTCCAGGAACAGTGAGAAGCAGCAAAGGATACTTAAGGAAGTGAGGGTGGAAATTGTGGACGCACCAGTCAAAATTTTCCAATCCTCCTTAGACACAAGAGTGGTGTCAGAAGATTAGAGAATTGTAAATGTTTCATACTTATTCAAAATTTGATGCAAAGAAAAGTTCAAGAACCACAGGCCAAGCTTTTAGAAATGATGATAAAGATGATACAAGTTATAAATTAAGTCACTTGGACAAATGGTAGAGGGGGAGGAGGTGATAATGAGTAGTCAAGTATGTACAATCTACATCAGTGGCTCTGATGAGGAGACTGAGTCCATTGTATCTAAGTTTACTGACAGAATAAAATTAGTTGACAAAGTAAACAGTGAGGATATTGCAAAGACAGTATAGACATTCTTACTGAGTGGACAAGAACATGGCAGGTGGAATGTAAGATATATTTAGTTACTTTAGAAATGGGTGCTCAGCATTGACAGCAAGGCGAAAAGGGAACAAGGCACCTCAACCTCACTTCAGGTGCTACTTCTTCTTGGGCTAGAGTGATGCCAGCAGATACCCACAGGCAGGAGAAGCAAAACGCAGGGGCTCCAGGAGACTGCTCAGAACTCTCAAGAGGTTCCCTCCCCCTCACTTTCCCTTTGCTAGTGACTCCATTGTTTGCATCCCCTGAAACCAAGGATGGTACACCTTTATCTGTTCAGGAAACTCTCAAGGTCTTAAGCCCTCAAGGGGCTCTTGCCAAATCTTTCATTGTCATCAGGGTGTAGCACTCAGCAAACACCCTCCTCCATCCAGATGGAGAGGCAGCACCTAGACGTTGTGGAAGGCAGAGGAAAGAACAGACCTTTTGAGGGTATATCAGAGGCATAGCTTTGTAATCAATGTGTAAACTGATCACCAGTGTAAATAGAAAACCACTTGAACTGTTCTAACATTTACTGTAGTCTCATTTCCCCACTAGAGGTTGACGTGGTTTGAAATAAAAGCGTGGAGCATCTTCCCCTGTGACAATGAGATGCTGTTTTTCCATCAGGAAATCTTTGATTGTCTTACACCATCAGCAATGTGTGTCTAAAGTTGCTATCATCACCTAATGAACCATTGACACATTTGGGGATTGCAGTCAAAACTCCAGTGATAGCATTCAAGGGTACTTACTTTGACAATTTCAAAAGGAATGATACTAGGGTTAACCACATAGTAGGCCCCCCACAGCCAATTAATGGATGGTGACATAATGGATGGCATCTACAGGGTGCTGGAGGGCAAGTTTTTAATGCCATGGCTGTGGTCTCTACAACCCTACCAAACTCCCTCAGCATATAAGGTAGGGAATTTCCAGCTGAAATGTGATTGTCTGCATTCCTTAGTGGGCAAGTATTTCCACCTGCACAGCCACGGTGTTGGTAGCTCAGTCACTGAGAGAACTTTGTTTCAAGTATTCAGCCTCCAATTTTCTGGAGACATAGCCTATATTGTTTTTGAACTCCATAATCCCCTGTTCACAGGGAGTACCTACAATGTAGCTGCTGCAGATACATCTTCCTTTAATTCATTCAAGGGATGAAGGTGCTGCCAGCATTTATTGTCCATCTGAGAGGGCTGTTAGAGTTCGCCACGTAGTACAGACCAGGTAAGGATGGCAGTATCCTTCCCTAAAGGATATTAGTGACCCAGATGGGTTTTTATCAACAATCGATAATGGATTCATGGTCTGCATTTGACTCTTAATTTCAGATTTTTGATTGAATTCAGATTCCACCATCTGCCCTGGCAGAATTTGAACCCGGGTACCCAGAACATGACCTGAGCCTTTGGATAATGTTACTAGGCCATCACTCCCTCTGAACAGTAACCACAAATCCTAGTTTTGTCAACTCAAGCTTTCTACTTCAAAATGTGATTGCATTAAAAGCCGATAAATAAGAAGAATAATGAAATCCTTCTCAGTGAGGTATTTTGCAAAGAGCAAGCATCCCAGTTGGCTGGTCAGTAACAGGCATAATTGAAACATGTCCATTTTGCTCAACACCTCCTGCAAGTGATTGGCAATGACATGTCTCTCTGGCTCATCCAACTGTCTTCTGGCTGTCTGTGAACATCCTCTGGATCTCTATCAGAATCTTCACCTTCATCTTCCTTGGCAAAAGAGGCCTGTTGTTCCTGCATCTTTTTCTCTCTCAAAACACCTCCCCTTTGTCTAGTGAAGTTGTGGAAGATGCAGCAAACCACAATGATGGGAGCCATCTTGGGATATGTTGCATTGCACTGTCCAACCGGCCTAGGCATCTTAATCTCACTTTCAGGAGGTCTATGGTATGCCCCTTGCACAGGGTTGTACTTCTCTGACAGAACTGAGATCCATGGTGTCATCATGATAAACCTCCTCTGCACCCCCACCAAAATCTTGACATCTTTCCTAAAGTGTGTACCCAGAATCGAACACACTGTTTCAGAAAATTCCTAATACAGTATTTTATAAATGTTATCATGGCTTCGATTTTGTATTCAATTCCCCTATTCATAAAGTCAAGGATCCCAAATACATCTTTAACACCTTTCGCAAATTGGTCTGCTACCTTCAAAAATTTGTGTACGTGTCCCCCCAGATGTCTCAGTTCTTGTACACCTTTTAAAACTGTTCCAATTAGATCGTGTTGCCTATCCTCATTCCACCTAGCAAAGTGTATCACTTACCTGGTTTTCTCATGAAATTCTATCTGTACCATGTCTTCCCATTTTACCAGTCTGTTTATGTTCTTCCTGCAGTCTCACTCATAGTTTACTACATTTCCGGATTTTTTATCAGCTACAAACTTTAGAATTATGCACTGTCCACCACTTTCACGTCATTAACAGTAATCAAAAAAATACAGTAGTCCTAATATTGACTCCTGGGGAGCACCACTGAATTCCTATCCATAACTGAATTCTAAATGGATTGCAGCAGTTCAAAAAAACGTCTATGATCACATCTTAAGGGCAGTTAGGATTGGACAGTTAGAGCTGGCCCAGCCAGCGATGCCCACACCCCTGCACGAATAATAATTTTAAAAAACTGACTTCTTCGAAAAATGGAAGCACATATTATTAAGGAGAAGATGGTAACTTGAGCACGTAATTGGCTAAGAGATCTGGGCAGAACGTAATGGTGAACAGCTGCAAGAACTTAATTAACTGAAAGGCTTTGAAAAATTCGCAGTGCTGTTTTTCATCCAGGCAGTATTGGCTATGCAAAGTGAAGGCAGTTCAGCAATTTCTGCTGACTTGTGCTATAACTGACCAGTGAAATTTAATATTATCCCTGATAAAGATGTTTTATTATTAAGCATCAAAAGACAGACATCACCAGCATGCATTTTGCCAGAGGTGCAAGCCGATGTAGGTTGTTAGAAAAATTGTTTGGATGCAGCTACAGTGATTAATCCTTTTTGTGCAGTGTAATCTTGAAGTCTTTGAAAATAATGTATTGGCACGTGCCCTTAGCTGCAATACTGTCATGTTTTTTCCATGAAGGTTTTTTTGTGTGAGAATCTATGATGATGGAATACCTGAGATAATATTTAGTCCATTCCTAACAACATGAATTGGAGTAAAATACATTTGCAATGTTCCAGATTTATAGACACTCCTAAGATGTATAATTGGAAAAAGTCGTAAGTAAGATTGCTTTCGTACAATTCAGAGATTTGCCAGCAGGTATGTGGTTATTTAGATTATAAGCAGAAGTGGATAGATTTTGGTCCTTGGATGATTAAGCCAGACAGTTGTATTTTTTTAAGTATCCAACATCTCTTATCCAACATCATAAACAAAAAATGCTTAAACTCATGTGAGATCACACAGAATTCCATTCTCGTCAAATAAGCAGCAATAAAGATTAGTTGGATATTCACTTTTTCCTGAAGTAGGGATGAAAGACTTCAGTCACAATCAGTGAGTGACCAAATGAATGGATTAATAATGCTCAGACATTTGAAGTAAGAAAATCAGAAGATTTTCATGCCTCTTTTCTTACTTTTGTTTTAAAACTGGTAAACCCCAAAAACCTCAAGTTTTGTGTGTCTGTGGAAAATACAGTAATTTTCAAGGTCACTCTTACATTACGACTTCATAAAGAGGTCAATTATACTGACACAATTTAAAAATTATTCCATAGCTTGCAGTATTATCTGTCTGAATAAAATAACTGTAACTCATTTTGATTGGAAGGTGTAATTACAGGATTGCATTTTTATCTCTTTACAGATCATCTGCTTTTGTAATTTGAATGTTGTGTACTATATCAAAGAATCATAGAATCCCTACAGTGTGGAAACTGGCCCTTTGGTCCAACAAGTCCACACTGACCCTCAGACCATCCCATCCAGAT